AAATGAAAGAAACATAAAATTGTAATTACACAACTTTTTCGTGAAAACAGTTGAAACATCACCTAAAAGTGCAACAAATAGCGAGGCTTATTTATTCAATTACAAATTAGGATCGGTTCTTGTAAATGACAAAACTAACCCTTAATTATTACTCCGAGTAGTTGCATGCAGCCAAGGCGCAAGGCCTTCCGATCAACGCAATGTCCTATGCTTTATATGATTTTATCATGTGTGGAATTCATAGTTTTAGACAAAAGTTTGATCTGTGTTTTGAAATAATATAATCTACTTATCTACACATAAATATTTATGATTGAATATTTCTTGTAAATTTGTAATTCTTCATAACTTGCTGAGTAAAAACAAAGAGACATAACTTTTTTTTTTTTTTTGGTCGGAAGAGACATAACTTTTTTGTTAAACATAGAATGATTTTTGATATCGAGAATAGAAAAGTTAACAATATAGCTATGGATAATGATACTTGCCCGATCTTGATAGTTTGAACTTGATGGTTTAGGATTTACTAATTGCGTGGGATTTTCCTTTTCTATTTAAATATATGACTATCTATATTTTTGCATACACATGATTGTTGGAAGTTTTTTTATTTTTATTAAGTACTCACTCCGTTCACCAAAGAGGTGATGATCTAGTGGTAACATAAGAAGTTAATTTTTTTGTGCTTCAGATTCAAACCCATTTTGAGACATATATTTATTCTTTAAATCGGAAAATCCAAATACTGTCTTCTGATACCGAAGAGATTATAGGCTAAAAGTTTGGAACTCTCACGGTTTATCAAAAAAGAAGAAATATTTACTGCGTTTTATAATATAAGATGTTTTAACTAAAAGCACGCAAATTAAAAAAAAAATTCTTCCAAAAAGAATTATTTAATTGATAAATAAAAACAATTTAGCCATATTTATTGCATTATTAGATTCTCCATGTTAAACAATTTAACAAAAACAAAAACAATTTAGCCATATAAATTTATAGCCAACATTTTTTCACACATGTTAGATTCTCCTTCTTTTATCGCATTGAATTTTGTTAGTATCTCCATATTTATTGCATTAGCGGTTTAAAAGTTAGAAAAGTATGTGAATGGTATATATGCTTAGAAGTTTACCTTTTTTATTGATTTTTTTGGGTAATTACAAAAATGTCACTTTTTGTGTGCATATTTGCAAGAATACCACTTACGAGTGTCCATTTACAAAAATGTCACTAATTATAGATTTATAAAGTCTATATCTTAAAATTCTAAACCCTAAAAAATGTTTTGACACCTAAAACCCCCTAGACACTCAAAACTAAATCCT